ACGTTGTGGGCCTAGTGTGTGAGTACGACTTCTAACCTTTTACGTGAATCGGTTAACACCACAATAGATTATATAATGCTTCATTTATATCTATACAAGACGGCCAGAAGCCACTGCTTAGAGCTTGGGCTCTCCAGCAACGACGCTTATACAATGCCGCTTCGTCAATATCTCAGAAAGTCCTTTTTGCTCATTAATACTGCGAAATATGTTGCTTATTGTTTTCTATTGTTGGTTCACAATTTAACTTTCCCCCAATTTTTATACTTTTTTTGAAAATTCCTGGGTCCAGTGTGCAAATTCGCATGTGTGTACCAAATGCTTCAAAATTCTTGCTGAGAGCTACAACTTCCGCCCACCAAACCAACATTGCATTTGTTGGAGGGAATACTACCATTTAAAATGCTCATCGGTTTTTCACAGTTTTCTCAAAAGACAGTGAAGTCTTTGAAGTGATGCCCGCAATCGTCGTCAAAAAGGTGGCCCTAGTTAAATCAGTCGAGACGGGGCTGCACCAGTCTTGTGCTGAAATGGTAGGACACCTTAGCAGTGACTGATCGATGATGCACAAACGCTTTAACGAAGTTGATTGCACAAGAAATTCTAATAAATGTGCTCATCTGCTACTCACGTGTGCTCAAAAAGGGTGCGTTTTTGACCCTATGTGGCAAAAAAGACTCCGGGAAAAATTGTCCAGTTGAGCTGGTAAGTTTTAACTTTTCCACCATACAGTGCAGACCCTACTCTAACTAACTGTATACTTCTTTTGTCCAGGCCTAACTTTTAGCAAGTGAGAGGGATGATTTGTCAGATGATGTCAAAACCGACCTACCTCTCTTTTTCGACTCAAAAAATTCCTAGCTTTAATCGTACGAGGTTTCCACTCATACTGGTAAATGGGAAAGTGCTAATGAGTCATTCGATGAATATGCTGTTTCACTCCCCGGATTCTGAATTAAAATATTGGTGGTCCGAAACTCGTGGTGAAAAAACGACACTAAGATATCCGGTACCTAATATTATATATCTGAAGTTATTCGGACAAAACGGCCAGTTTCCTATGGATATAACCCCTTCTCCGATGCGCTGCTTAGCTTTCATACAATTGAGAGGGTTGTTTTAAATAATTTCACTAAGAACACTGCGCAACTCTCCACCATACAAGCAGCTCTCGTTCCAGCCCGTATTTCCAAAAACTCGTCAAATTCTGCGGAGTTTTCTCGCAAGCAGGTCGGCACTTACCGCATGTCGATTGGTCGCGAATCGAGAGGATTGACGGGCACTGAGGCCACTGTTTTCGGGCATCGAACGAATCGGGGATGGAAGCATCTTCGATATCGTCATGGGTCTTTTCGTTCACCTATAAACCGATAACTTCTTTATTCCACACCAAACACAAGAGGAGAGAAAAATAAGCTTTCCGGTCCAACACTTAACATTTAGACATTCAAGAGCCAGGTTTCTCACTTCAAACGTAGCTGCCGAGTTTGCTAAAGTGTTCGAAAAATTTATTACACCCCAAAAATAATTATATTTTATATTATACACCAATAGCCCAATTATACCCCAACTCGAAAACATCTGAAAGACCTGATCAGACCAAGGTGAGTGCTTTCTTATTTCTTTTTGCTACCTCACGAATATCATCAAATTCTGTTCTATTTTCTTATTTTTGGTCCCTGTTTGCTTTATTTAGCAGGCCTAGGCCAGGTTCAGGGTCGTACTTTTTTGATGTGACTATGACACATGCAATAAATAAAGAAGTCACTTCATAAATACACTATCGGTGACTCACTCTGAATTCCTCAGGCACAGCGACGTGCTTCGATCCCATGAGACGTTTCTTGATGTCATCAGGATACTGCGCGAAACGGGGAGACAGCTTGGCCTACACTCATGAAAACCTTACTGAGCGGGTTGGTTACAACATTTGTGGTGATTATTTACATATAAAGCAAACAAACCGTAAACAAGTTCTGAGCCTTGTTAACATATTCGATCAATTCGAGACCGGTTAGCTGCTCAGCTTCTCGAAGAACCCTCTCTGAAAAAACTGGTCAAAATTTATGGGCAAGCTTCATGGCAAGTCTGTAAGGGAATCAGAGTTTCTCCGTTTATAGCTCAAGGTTTATACGTTGGGGAAAAATTCACTTTCAAGTTAATGGATAGGCAGATCGCTTGTTTATTATTAGAGCTACGTACAGTAGCGGTCAAAAGTGTTCGCCGGAAACGGTTTTCCGTGCTTCTCTTTTTTTGCCAGAAAAAATCAATGGTGGCCTCGGAAATTTTTTCTTTTGAACATCCTGATTCTTTAAGACTTGAGGATATAAAAACACTAGAAAACATAGTATATCAATCTTTGGAGGGCGTTGCTCAAGC